GGGGCGTGGCACCTTTTTGAAATAAACTTGCGCTGCGTAGGAACTCCTAAAATCTACATGCAAAATGCCAATCTTCTAGCTATTATAGTTTCCGAGATCTCAGCGTTCATACGGACAGACAGACAGACAGACGGACAGACAGACGGACAGACGGAGAGACGGACATACGGACATGGCTAGATCGACTCGGCTAGTGATCCTGAACAAGAATATATATACTTTATAGGGTCGGAAACGCTTCCTTCTAGCTGTTACATACTTATGCACGAATACAATATACCCTTCTACTCTACGAGTAACGGGTATAAAAACATTGTAGTAATACTATCTTAATATTCTTAACTTTAAAGTGGTAAAATCGGTAAACTTCTTTATGGCTTAAAACTGTCGCTCACTGCTGGTGGAACAACATAAAGGGTCACAAGTTTTGTATAGCAGACAATCTCCACCAAGTGGCTAAATATTATTATTTATTTACTTCATTTACTTCATCATTATTCATCTTTTTATTGGTTTTTTCCAAGGCTTGCCTAGGCTTGGCACTTTTGCGAATGTTTTAAAATAATAAACTACAATATTTAGCTGCAGAAAATTGAAATGTTTTCGTGTTTGTATATGTATGTTTTGGGTACTTTTTGTGGCATTCATTAATGAAGTTAGATTATTATGGATTACTATCCATAATAATATAACTTCATTAACTTCACTAACTTCATTGTATTCTTGTAAATGCATTTTTTGTGGGAATCGGAGTTTCACATTTGTCAAAAATCCCAACCGTTTCAGACGGATGGACTCTATGGGAAGAGGGCATAAAACAAAGAGGTGCGCTATAATTGAGTGCATCGATTATAAGATGCACGCGACTCAGCCAACCAATTTCAAGATAAATATGGAAGCTGGGAGCTGAGAGGGACCAGCATCACCCCCTCCTAACAGTTTTCTCGCTCTCTTCCGCTCTATAAAAAATGCAGTGCCGTCATTATTCACACTTAATATATCCTATAACGTCTAAATTAATGGTGCGATTAATTCTTTTGAAATAAGCTTGCGCTCATAAAAAAACCTGGAATCGTCATGCCAAGTCCGAAATGTCTTGTAGCTGTTGTAGTTTCTGAGATCTTGACGTTCATACGGACGGACAAGCATGGACACGGACATGGCTTAATTGACTCAGCTATTGATCGTGATCAAGAATATATGTATTTAAAAACTTTATTGAGTCAAAAACGCTTTCTTCTACCTGGAAAGTATTTAATTCCACCCAGTAAAAGACTTTTGCTCTACGAGTAACGGGTATAACTGTTCAACAGTATATAGAAAACAACGGCAAACGAGAAGGACAAAACTTTGGCAAGCTGAAGTTTACAACTATTAAATATTCTATATTATAATATTAATGCTTAGGGACATTGATCTTTCCTATGGCAGCTGTATGCAGGGCCGGCGGTTGACGTGGGTAGTATGGGTAGTAGTACCCACTCGGTAATATCCGAGTGGGTTTTTATCCACTCGAAAATATCAGGGTAAGTTTTAACTCTCTGAAACAAGCCGGGAATTTGAAAACAGCCGCGCTCGTGTCAAGTGCTCACAATGCGCGTGCGCGTGAGATCCTCGATCTTGTAGATCATATATCGATTGATCGATTTAATTTTTTCAACACACGCACGTGCACCACGAGTGATTGTATTGTATCAATTACGCTTTGATACAATACAATCACTCGTGGTGCGCGTGCGTGTATTGAGATTATGGAATAGTAGATGAATTTATCCAAGCGTTGGTAAAATGGACCGGTTTGTAATCCGGAATAAGAGGCTAAACGATAACAGTGCGAGTGACAGTTCATGTGGAAAAAAAGGGAAAATCGATGAATTTTAACAAGAAACGTCAACCATCTCTGTTCGTAAGTAAAACAACAAAGAGTTATCATTAACACACTTTTAACACAAAAGTGTTTATCAATTTATGATTTTGACCCTCTATCCCTCTTACTTTCGTATAGGTGTGTGGAAATAAAAAACTAATGGATTTCATGTACATGAAGGTACTTGATTTCATGTAGGGGGGGGAGGTGGGGGTTTGAGTGGTTCTACGATTATTCCAATTAAAGCTAAATGAAATAATAAGCTGAGCCGACCCTTTCGACTAAACTACCTGCAACAGAACAAGGTTTAAAACTGAGAGACTAGTTTGCGTAGAAACGGACAGACGGAAGACAGCCTTGTCTAGATCGACTCGCCTGCTGATGCTGATCAAAAATATAAATAATTTTTAGGGCGTTGCAAACTTTTGATAGTAGTTAAAATACCTCCTTAAAGGGTATTAAAGTTTTTCATATTATCCAGAGGAGTGCAACCATTTGAATGTCGCTAAGATCCCAAAGATATTCGTCTCCCCCCGCTGTTCTGACTCCTTCCGATCCAAAAGTCTATTGCCGACCTTCTCCCAGATTTTCGAACGAATTTTTCTGAAACGGCTTTTTGGACCAAAATTTGCAACGCGAATAATGGGTTCTTCGTCCGGGCAGTTGACTATCACTCACGGCGAAATCACTGCTTTTCTTGCCCTGACACTATCCAGAACCATGTGGTAATTGGATAATTGGACGGGTGTGGGAACGAAACAATGTCATTCTTGGAAGTGGCTTTTTTCATGAATACTACCTTTGAACACCACAAGGCGTGAAGGTGAATTGTTTCCCAAATCACACTATTAATTAAGCCCTGTGCTTATGCGCATCAAACAAAAAAATTAATAATATAATAATTTAATAATAATATAATAATAATAATTTAATAATAATAATTTATAATATAAGAATTCTTTTCTGCTGTAACGCACTCTCAACAAAAGGTAATCTGCTTGAATTATTTACCAATGGACTTAATAAATAATGTCAAAACATTCCTTTTAAAATCTACTGAATTCGAGAAAAGGAAGCCAAAGCCTCCGCCTATTTATATTAGAGAAAAAAAATCCAATGTTCTTGTCAACAAAATTATCGAGCTTATTGGAATGGATAACTTCCACATAATACCCCTTGTAAAGGGTAACATCCAAGAGACAAAGGTTCAAATGAAGTCTCAAGATAATTACAGAGTGTTATTGAAAAATCTTACCGAGAATAAAAAGAACTTTTATACGTATCAACTAAAAAGGAGCAAGGGCCTGCAAGTCGTACTTAAGGCGCTACAAGAGAAGGGATTTAGCGCTAAGGCAGTTTTTAATATCCTTATCAGGGATAGAAAGCCACAGCCACTTTTTAAGGTTGAGCTCGAACAAGAAAATAAGCCCCTAAAGAAATACGAAACCGCACAAACGCAATGGCCCGGTACAATGTAAACTAAACTAAAATTAATAATTTCAGGTCAATTAAAAAAACACCACCTCGAAATTGGACAATCTTTCTAACTATATTATTAATAAATCTTATTAATTATACTCGTGACAGCCATCGTGGTAATCTCTTTAATATTTGGGAAATGTGTTGTAAAAATAAAAACAGAATACGAATACCACTTTTTACATAACAGCATTAAAGAATTTTCAAAAAAAAAAATATGTTGAACCAAATATTGTTATACCCGTTACTCGTAGAGTAAAAGGGTATATTGTATTCGTGCAAAAGTATGGAACAGCTAGAAGGAAGCGTTTCCGACCCTATAAAGTATATATATTCTTGATCAGGGTCACTAGCCGAGTCGATATAGCCATGTCCGTCTGTCTGTCTGTCCGTCCGTATGAACGCTGAGATCTCGGAAACTATAAAAGCTAGAAGATTGGCATTTTGCATGCAGATTCTAGGAGTTCCTACGCAGTTCCTACGCAGCGCAAGTTTCAAAAAGGTGCCACGCCCCCTTTAACGCCCACAATCGCTTATATACGATTTTGAAAATTTAAATATTTCGGATAAGTAGAAATGCAGTTTTATTGTGTTTATCAATACCTATCGAAATGTATAAGAAATTTTTCAAATCGGACCATTCGTTAAAAAGTTATGCGTGATCAAAGTTTCTATCTCCATCTCCCTCCCACTCCCTTTACCTGAGTAACGGTTATCTGATAGTCGGGGCAGCCGACTATAGCGTTCTCTCTTGTTTTAACTTAGAATGAAGAATGAAATCGTTATAGAAAAAAATAACATAATGAAAGCAACCAAAACAAAAAATATCTAAAAATATACCATAGAAGATTATACCCAAAATATATTTAAATACAACAATATAACTTTAATATAACCAATATCAGACATACAGACAAAATAAATAATATTTGAGAACAACAAATATGTTTAAGTTTGAAAATATAATAACCTTTAAAATCTTTATTTTAAGTTTAATAATTTTTTTAGTTTATAAATTTTAACATATCCTATACAGTATTATTATTCGCTATAAAAATCCAAAAGTCAGAAAATTAACCACAAAAGAACTGAATAAGAACCTGTAAATGTAATTTAGCAAGATACGCCTCACAAACCTCTCAGCATAAACTTTAAGCTCTACAAAGTCAGGTTTGATATATACCGTCCTCCTTAAATCAAATTGAGCTTCTTCATAACCCTTGCACAGATCAGACCCGGTCTTCGAATAGAATTTTAAAAACCATAAGTAAATCTTGTAAAATTGTGAAATGGGTGACATTTGTGTATTATTTAGATATATCCACATATATATCTGTTTTTGATTTGAGTTTTTTTTCATCCAAATAGGCTCTAGTTTGCATAAAAACGGACAGACGGACGGACGTATGGACAGACGAAAGTACGGGTAAGGCTAGATCCACTACCCTAATGAAGCTGTTCAATAATATATTTTCTTTGACCGAAATTAACATAAGGGTATTAACTTTAATTAAGAATGAGAATAATGACAGTATTGTCTTATGTCTATTTTTTAAAAGTATTAGTTTCTCTTTATAATGTGGGTGTTCTTCCAAACAACCGATATCTTAATTTTAAAAACAAAGCTTTTTGACAATAGAAAACGTGTCGCAGTTTTATCGTTGTCTTACAAGTTACAAGTTACTTGAAACAAACCTATTCTAAGTTATCTAAATGTGAATATTGGGATATACGAGTCATTTAAAGATTTTTACTTTTGGCAAAAGCCAATCAAGGTGCATTGTTTCGAAACTTTTTAAGCTGTACCCACTCATTTTTAAGCATTTTTTAAGAACTTAATGGAGTTGCAATTTTAATCGTGGTTATACATACGTAAACAGAACATCAAAAAAAAAATCACTGATGCATTTTTTGCTTTCGTAGTGCACGGATGCTGACGTGATCCTCCATTTGTAAATATCCAGCGAGTACTAGGTGATGGTAGGGATCCAGGGGAATTGTAAGTCTTTTCATATCCGCTACGTGTGGGTAGATGAGTGTACACTAAAATGTATACATATAGAGAAGTCAGAAAATAGTTTAAATTCAGTAGTTGTGTGTGGTTTGACAGATCAAAACTTGTACAAATTAAGAAAAAATTAAAGTTTCAATTCTTGACAAGAAACAAATCTGGAATCAATGGTCTAATACCCTAACAAAGCAATCGGAGCCCAAAATACAACTCTTAGCCTTGCTGGTATATACAAATAAAAATATGGTCCGCATCGCCTACATACTCAACAACCACCTCTTAGTCTTACATTATTGGTCAATTTTTATACCTATTATGATGTTATGCCAATGTAACAAGAATAAACGATATAGTCGAGTGCCTTGACTATAAGATATCCTTTATTCAGCTAACGAATTAAAAAAAAAAACAAGAGAGAACGCTATAGTCGAGTGCCTCGACTATTAGGTACCCGTTACCCAGCTAAACAACTTAATATAAATATGCTATTGTATTGCGCCATCTACCCCAAGACATTGGTACCACGGGCCATGAAAGGCGGAAATGTAGGCGCTAGCCAGGCTTAAGCGTTTAATGGGTTTTTGGGCGTTAGAGTGGGCGTGGCAAACTTTTATTCGGCCAATCGATAGGTATTGACGAAACAAATACATATCAATTAAAATTTTCATAATAGCATCAAAACTGTGGCCACAGCTTGTGACAAACTTGCTGCGCTCCTCAAATCTACATGCAAAATGCCAATCTTCTAGCTTTTCTAGTTTCCGAGATCTCAGCGTTCAAACGGACAGACAGACAGACGGACAGACAGACGGACAGACAGACGGACATGGCTAGATCGACTCGGCTAGTGATCCTGAACAAGAATATATATACTTTATAGGGTAGGAAACGCTTCCTTCTACCTGTTACATACTTTTGCACGAATACAATATACCCTTTTACTCTACAAGTAACGGGTATAAAAATAGGTCCCGGCTAAGTCGCCTTTCGACAATTATAGCTTTTAAAAATGCCGAACTGCATCACAAGCTGAGGGGGAGCAGCACCCTAGCCTCCCGCTAACAGTTTTATCACTTACATGACAGACAACGTTTTTTAAATATGCAGAGATGTCATATTTATGAATTGATTTCTTAACCACTTCTAAAATAGAAGGCATTCGCTAAAAAAGCTATTAAGTTTGGTACCAACATTTACAGACCCATTTGTGGGTGTTTGAATATTTTTAAATAAACTTGCGCACCGTAGGGATAACTAGATTCTGGTTCTGAGATATCGACTAGAACGACCTGATTCTTTATTTCGTGCTCGCTACGTAAACGTCCGGCTAGCTCAGAGAGGTGGTGAGTTCGTTCCACCAAATTTGTATTGAGTGACTGCCCGTGACCAAAGCATAACGCCAGAATGGATTCAGTTGGTGCTGGTTTATTAATTCTCAAAATAGAGCCTTATTGCTACTGTTTTGTTGCCCGTTCTCGCTGTCTTCTGCTGCGTTGCTCCTCGCTGCTGCTATTACGTCGCTCCTGGCTTGCTGGTGCGTTGCTCCTGGCTTGCTACTGCGTCGCTCCTGGCTTGCTGCTGCGTTGCTTCGGCTTGCTGCTTCGGGTGAGTGAGATCGGGAAGGCTCCACCGAGACCCCGGTCCCTACCGGGCCGGCAAGGTGTATCGCCTAGCAGGTGAAACGATGTTTCGCCTTATCGCCTAGCCACCTTTATTGCCTGACACCGCGCAAGAACTCGGTTTGACCACGACCTAGCACCGTTGGATCTCAGCGTTGTACCCTCAGCCTTGTATACTTGTCGTCGTTCGGTGTCTCGACTTTGCGATCTTGATCCTCGGGTCCATGGGTTTTGATTCTACTTATTCCGCGTTCGCGCACTCGCTTTGATTCTCGCATTCGTACTGTCCCGAGCTGCGCTTGCGCCATCCTTTTATAAGCGCTGGAGGTGCTGTTATTCCCCTCGCCGAGCTCGGGTCCAAGGTCCACTGAAGTATGTTTATACAGTTTACTGTATGACCTCGTTGCCCTTGCCATATGAGGGTCCAAGTTCCGTATGTTTCCCGTTTGACCTGGATGCCCTTAATTTCTCTAAGCCGACCTCCTGCTTCGGGATTTGTGGGGAGTTTAAGACTCCTCACACGACATTCATACACACTGATCAAGAATATGTATGCTTCATTCAACTTGTTTCATACATATCAACGACCATGTAACTGGTATAATAGCTGGTATCGAAAAAACTCCATGACTAAAGATGATCCTTTATACCTGAAAAAATATACTTGATCACTGCAGTGTATCGAACAAGAAGTAAAACATTGCGTTCAATTCAATTCAACGCAGTGAAGGAGACATTTCCGACCCTATAAAGTATATATATTCTTGATCAGCATCACCAGGAGAGTCGATCTAGCTATGTCCGTCTGTCCGTCCGTCTGTCCGTGCGTCTGTCCGCCCGTCTGTCCGTCCGTCTGTCCGTCCGTCCGTTTCTACTCCAACTAGTCCCTCAGTTTTAAAGCTATCTGCTTGAAACTTTCCCAAAAGTTGTCTTTTGGCTCCTATAGCTACCATATAACTGAACGATTGGAAATGCCATAACTTTGGTGTTTTTAAAGTTAGGAAGTTGGGACTTTTTATGAGTATTAAGAATACATCATATGAAAAATTTTGAAGAATATAATTTGCAGAATATTCTGCAAGGGTATATCAACTTCGGCTCCGTCCGAAGTTAGCTTTCCTTTCTTGTTTTTACAATGTTAGACTATGTAAAAATAATTAACCGATAACAAATGGATTGAATAGATGGGTCATTCCTTAATGAAAAAGTTAATACAAATTAATATGCTTGATTTATAAAACCTTACGAAATATTTTACCGATTTCATTTTTTTTTCAAAGCCGTAACCAGTTTTATGAGTTTTTTTTTCCGAAAATACAATATTCTCGATGCTCGAATACTGAGCGTATATCTGATTTTATTCTGTTGCGCTTGCGCGATGGTTCCATGGTTTCTTCGGGAGCCAAACTGGTATGCCGGGATGACATTGCGTGCTTCCAGAAATGGTAGCAGGCTATTTGGTCTGTACGACGACGGAATTTTTTGGTCTTTTTCGGTTTTTAGTAGCATTATGATAGAAAATTTTTTAAACTTCTTTGTGAAGTAGCCAAAGTTGATGATCCCATTGAAGAATATACAAAGCATTTTTGGTGTTAGTAAGTCACCACCGGGTACCTTTTTTGGTTTTAGTTCCCTATTGACTTTTTTTATTTCGTTCGTGGATTTGTGCCAGGATTTGATCTATAAGATCTATAGTATTTTTTTACTTGTACTTCCTTTTCTTGTGGTTGGGAGATTTGACTGCTGCAACGAGTATTAGATTGCGAGATATGTTTTTGTCACGGCGAAATTAATCAAATCCGGGAACTTTCGGAGGTCATTTACCCGGGGCCGCATTGGTCAGGGGCCCAGCAGCGAGAAATTATTTTCTAAAATTAAGATGTTAAGATAAATTGAGAAAGAAACATATGAACCAAAAAGTCCACTTTTGTTCTATGACTAAACTCATTTAGCTTCTGATATATAACACTTCTGTATAATTCAAATAAGAATCGAAAAAGGTGTGGCGCTCGACAGACAGGGCCGTCTGGACCGACAAAAAACCACCTTACTATCTCGGAATGCCTTGGTCTTTCCTGTGATAACATTCCGCTCCTGATATATCTCTACGTTGCCTCCAAAACTCCGGCGTTCGGATATAAGAAGTTTTGGTACTCAACTTACTGCCCTGACTCAAGCATCTTCTCTTTGTTGATTTTTTACTGAGTCCTTAGTTGACCAAATTCCTCCTCTACCTTGGTACTCTTTGAGCCCGGAAATTGCTGTTCAGGATAGAAAACATCAAGATAAGGACGAGACATCCCATCGATATGGCAAGGTTAAAGGCTACTGTGTCAGAGATAAAAAAAGCGCTGCGATCGGCCAAGCCTAGTGCAATTGATCGTAACCTGTAACACCGATTTGTCTGTTGATCGCTGATTGCAAAAGATAGTCTCTTTACTCTATTTATCTTGCAAGAAGGCATGAAGTTTGGACAACAATCTCTAGGTTCGGGCTTCCCTTTGACCCTCCTGATGCTGTGCGTCCAGTAGACGAGAATGAAAATTAAAAATTAAATCCCATCCCGAACGCTTCGTGTGCGCTGGGTTTTTTGCTCTCTCATTCTTATTCTTATTTTGATGCTCGCGCACTCATTGCACGAGTTCGGTCGTTCAGTCGCAGAGATGCGCACTTTGAACAAGTTGCCCTGCGCTTGAATTTATCTTTATATGTATGCGTGTTCATGCATTCTCATTCAGGGGTCATGTGTGCATTTATTTCATTTCGATGCAGGAAGAATATTTTGTCTTTTGGTACTTATCATACTTGGTACCCTAACAATATGGGCGTATTTACTATTGGATTAATGATAAAAATAAGAATACTATATGTTATAATATATTTTTTAATATTTCAGCATAAATTTTCATTTGGTTTACAAATTCAAATCAGTGGTAGCAGGAAAATGCTTGGCATATATGTATGTATTCGAATTAATAGAAACCAATATACTGAAAAAGGAACAGGGCATATCGAAGTCTGTGTCACTTAAAATACGACTGCTCTTGAATGGTTGAGAAAACTTTTGAGAACAAACATACATAAAACAAGAAAGGAAAGCTAACTTCGGGCGGAGTCGAAGTTGATATACCCTTGCAGAATATTCTGTAAATTATATTCCCCAAAATGATTCATATGATGCATTCTTAATACTCATACTTCTTTTGAATTTGACATATATTCCCTTTTCAACCTCTTTTATAATGTAAGGGAGTGACAGTAACGGGTAGCATCGGTCATAAAATTAATTATATGGGATATATAAATATCAACTCAGGACGCGATCCTGGTCAAGAATATAAATACTTTATAGGCTAGGAGATGTTTCCTTCACTGCGTTGCACACTTTTGACCAAAATTATAATACTCTCTGC